GCCCTCGTATAATGTATATCGTTTGGTTCCCTGCATTATTTTAGGAAAACGCTTTGTGATTACAGTATTGAACTGCTGCAATGGAGCAGCCAGTTCAATACTGGCTGCTAATGCGCCATCAAAATGAACAGTGAAAGTAACAAAAGCTTATACAATACATTTTAACAGGTATAATTAAGTGTGGAAATAACTGAAGGTAATATCTGTTTGCTAAATTAAGCCAACTAACATGATTCATATTATTATTATTATTACTATTATTTTGTTTCTGTAGCCAATATTTACATTTTTTTTTTACAAATGCTGTGAAAATACAGGTATCGGTATCGGCGAGTACACAAAAATGAAAGTATCGGTATTCTGCACCAATACAAACATGTGCGCGCTGCGTATGTTTAGCTTGCTTTAAGGCCGAAGTATACTTCGGTTTTTACTCGTACGCGAGGGTCCGTGTACACTGCGTGTGACGCAAATTACATCACCAAAATAGTACGCATGCATTTTTATAATGTATAATGAATGGTTCCCTGCATTATTTTAGGAAAACGTTTTGTGATTACAGCATTGAGCTGCTGCAATGGAGCAGCTCTAATGCGCCATTAAAATGAACAGTGAAAGTAAAAGCGTATACAATACATTTTAACAGGTATAATTAAGTGTGGAAATAACTGAAGGTAATATCTGTTTGCTAAATGAAGCCAACTAACATGATTCATATTATTATTATTATTACTATTATTTTGTTTCTGTAGCCAATATTTACATTTTTTTTTTTACAAATGCTGTGAAAATACAGGTATCGGTATCGGCGAGTACACAAAAATGAAAGTATCGGTATCGGGCTCGTTCTGAAAAAAGTGGTATCGGTGCATCCCTAAAATAAATAAATAAATACAAAACAATCCAAAAAAATCTTAAGCTTAGTTTTGTGGGTGTATTTGTGATATTCACTCAGCTGTAGCTTGGACAAAGACAGACAGACAGACATTACAAACATGAACACACACTCCAGCATGGCACTTTTGAGGATTTGCCATTAATTAAACAGAGGACTTCTTCCAATGCTCAAGAGTCAGCTGAAGCTCAATGCCATCTTCATGATGAGCACATTTAAGAGAGAGAAAACTGTGGCCTCAGCTGTGGCAGGGTTCAGAGGGAGGTCACTGACAACTTACTGTTTCTGCGGACAGTGAGGAGGGGTCTTGTGGCAGGGTCTGGGAATGTGGACACAGAATTAAAATCACTAAAAATAACATTATGTTATGCATCATGGAAACAGCTGTGTTTTCTGTGACCCATCATGCATTGGATGATGTTTTAATTTAAATGAATGTAATGAAGGTGAAAGAAGAATCGCAAAAAAAGCGCTTGCAGTGTTCGTTTTGAATGTTAGATGTTGTCTCATGTTATGCTAAAGATGTGACACAGATCAGCTGTAGGCTATGTTTTCTGGGAAAATCATATCAGTTCAGTATGAATCTACACCATTGCCATGGCACATGTAGAAGCTTTAAAGATTCTTCAGTTTTCCACTGGGTTCTTGAGTACACACTTAAAGTTACTGTCACTAGCAAACTAATATAAAGTACTTACAGAGTGGCTATTCAGATGAGAGTTCAGATAGCAGCCAATGAGATGAGAGGCATTAGATGCTCATGCTTATTTGATTAGGTAGGGGTTTTGTAAATTAATATGTTAGCTGTGTTCTTATTAGTTTGGGTGGTGATCCACAAACTAATTGGTTATGTCAGCAGCCTATTTCTATCCTGCTTACACTTACTGTGGCTCTGCCTCTGGGAGGGCTGCCACCTGAGGCTTTGACAGGCTGTAAGGGGAGAAAGGGGTTGAGTCTGGTTACTCGATGAACTTTTCGGTGACTCAATAATATGGTATGCATTAAAGGAATATTCTTGGTCATTTTCAACTTGATTAGAACAGACAATAATTTTGTTAACTGTAATACACTTACAATAGAAGTCTATTTGGTTACTACTCTCTTTCAAAAGTATAACATCATGTGTTGACAAAACTGGTGCGATAAAATCACTTACTGATCCTCTCTGTGCAGTTATATCTGCTATAACATCATAAACTCATGTTATGAACGGCTAAAAAAGTAAAGCCATATACTTTTGCTTAATCAGTATTTTGGTCTTGTTTTCCAATTGAAATATCTATAATACATCATTCAAATAAAATTTGGGGTAAATATTTATTTTTGTATTTAAAAAAAAAGAAATTCATACTATTGTTCAGCAGGGATGCATTCTATTAATCAAATGTGCCAGTATTTACTTTATTGCAAAAAAAATTCAGATTTCAGATAAATGCTGTTATTTTTCATTGTAAATTTTAAATTTCATTAAAGAATCTTTAAAAAATGTATCACAGTTGCCACAAAAATATTAAGAAGCACAACTGTTTCCTTATTGATAATAACAAGAAATGATTTCTTCTGGAGTAATGGCTGCTGAAAATTTAAAATGCATTATTTTAAAATATATTATAACAATATATTAATATATTATAACAGAAAACAGTTAAATGCTATAATATTTCACAATATTGATTTTACTTTTAATGATTTTATGATCAAATCATTGTAGCCCTTGTGAGAAATTTCTTTGAAGAACATTAAAAATGAAATTCTTTCAGGAACATTACTAAGGAAATGGTATAATATATGGAATAATGTAACTGCTGTAATTTTTATTTTATTTCAATATGTTGGTAATGCATAACCAAAATTTCCTACACTTAAAAAGTAGGCCCTCCTGACGATTTAGACTTCTATAGCACAAAAAAAAACAACCAAAAAAACCCAACAACAACAACAACAAAACACATTTCTACTCAATATTCCACGTAAGCGCAAACAAAAATGTGAGCTTCACATTTCAATTTATAACCCCCCCCTGAGATTTTGATTATGGTCACTAGGTGGCGCTGTGACACTGCTGTCTCTACACAGAGAAGGCGCACAGGCGTTTTCAGGTACAGCAGAACAATGTTTAATAGACAAAGGGAACCAAAGAGCAGTCACAGAGAGTAAAAAACAAATCTCTCATGCATAGACATACAGCTAACATATGTTGACAGGAATACATGCAATGTACATGATCACATACAGAGAAATGAGCAAATACTCGCACTTGCTCACATCTGCTTTGTCTGTGGCCTGAGAGCCTCAACCAATAGTTTTTTTTGGAACACTAATGGGATCATGGGGTTAGTGAGCTATTATGGTTACTGTGACAGAGTACGGACCTGGGGATATTATCACAAAGATGGAGCATTGACAGGGTTGGGTCTGTTATATAGGGATAGTCTAGTAGCTACTAGGTGGCCAAAGTGGCCAAAACCCATGTGCTGGTTTGGTAATGGAGACTAGACCAGTGGTTCTTAACCAGGGAGCCGGGGCCCGGCCTCAGCAAACTTCCAAGGGGGCCGCAGGAAGTCTTTAATGCATTTAAATTAATAAATTACTCTTAATATATTTAAAAAACAAAAAATCTAATTCAAATGTATAATTCTAAAAATAAACATCAAGATGTATACTGAAATTGTTTATTGTTTATAACAATAACTTATTTAAGAACATAATTTCTGGAATCACAAAATGAATTATGGTTAATTAATCTGATTTAAAACATTAATTTAATATATCAATAAAAATGAAAAACAATCAGTTTTTCATAATTGTGAAATTACTATTGTTTTTATTGAAGAATATACAGTTCTGAAATATAGAACAACTTATGGAATCACAAAATGAATTGTAATTAATTAATTTAATATAATAATTACAAAATTACTGAAATTTCACATCTTTATATTTATTTTCCATCTATAAATATTATTTTTATTAAACAACACGCCGTTCTGCAATACAGAGCATTAATTCTGATTCTGATTCATTCTGAATGTTAGTTCATTTATTTAATTAACCATGTGAATTAATTCAATATATCAATAAAAAAGTTAAAAAATCAGCAGCTCTGTCATAATTACTGTTGAAATACTAAAGATGGCTTAGTGTATATGTGGGCCTTCGAATATTGTGTTGGGCAATGGAGGCCCTAGAGTTAAAACGGTTGAGAACCACTAGACTAGACTCTCCAGATCTCCAAATTGACATACAAGGATGTTAAACGTATAGAGTATGGCTGTTCACATAATTGTAGGCAGGTGCACTGTCTGATTTGAGGTAAAAGAGCTAAAATTAGCTTTTTATGAAAGCCACACCTATCCAAAAAAAATGAGAATAAATAAATATATAAGCATAAATCTGCGACATCATAATGCCTACACAGCCATACAGTGGCTATATATATCATATTAGGTCATAATAGCACATTGTTTGTTTATTAGAAAGACACTAAAAGTTTACAATTCGGGTTACCTCTCCAGGGCTGTGCCTTCCTTGTCTTTCCAGGGTGGAGGAGGTGGAATGGAGAGACTCATAGGATATCATGTCTGGACGCTCTATATCATAAATGGCCTTGACTCTGGGGATGGCTGCTAGGTCCTTGTAATCAATAATCTCATTGTCTACTTTTGCCTGGAGTAAGGAGGATGAGGGACACAGGGGAGGGAGGGGACACATAAGTGGAGAAACACAGGGAGAAAAGGTGTTGATGAGGAAGAGGTCAGGTCACAGGTCAAAGGTCATCCACATCGCATCCGACCAAAGCTACAGCTGTCACAAAGCTCATCACACAGGGTGAACGTACACTTATTTGGAAAGATGAACGATTGGTTTTGGAGGCATGCTTATGAGAAAAGCTACCTGGCTTAATATTTGCTTAACAGTGTTATTGTAAATGATTCTCTAAATTCGGTTACATGCTGAAATGATGCTACAGATATCAAATACAAGTCGAAGGCAAAGAGTGGAGAGAAGTTGAAGCAAACTCCTGTGCTTTTCCTGCAAGTTTTTTTACATTGACCCTGGAGTGTACCAGCATCAGAATCCATTGTGGACTGAGTGGTAAGATCTGACAGACTCGGGAAACGATTGGGGGCGCCGATGAGTGGGACTCACATAGATGGTATGACCTGGAGATCCAGGGATGCTCGAGCCAGGTCTCGAACAGATACTCTCAGATGATGACCTCGTGGGCTGCGGGAGAACGAGATGTTGTGTTAGCAGCAATAAGCTGAAAATAATGCACACACATATTTCTAAACACACTCATAGATGCCAGGGGGAAGCTTAAGGGGGTAGCTGAGCTAAAAATGAACGTTTTGTCAACAGTTACTTATTCCCATGTCATTCCAAATCTATATGACTTTCATTTTCCAAAGGAACAGAAAAGGAGAAGGTTTAAAGAATGTTCACGCTGCTCTTTTTCATAAAATGCAAGTAAATGGAAACTGGGCCTTTCAAGCTACAAAAGAGGACAATAAATGCATCAAAAAGTAAATCATGCACTACATTTAAGTCTTCCAAAGCCATACAATAGTTTTGTTTTTTATGGAACATACTGAAATTTTAGCTGTTATTTGAATGTTTTTGGATGCTTAATTGCATGATGATTGCAATTATAGTTTAAATGTACTTTTGAATATTAAGTATATCTTTATATGTAATTTCAGAATTACTTCTAATTTCTTACATAGTTTCTTGCATATTTAAGAAATACTTCTGAATTTACTGACACATTATTGCTAAACTCATATCATTATGTCACATATTTATATATATATATTAGTTATTGCAAATTTGTAATGATGAATTTGCAATTTAGTACATTTAAAATATATTAACCTTAAATGTAATATCGAGTGTACTTTTTAAAGCCAGATAAAAGATTATTAAAACATAATGATTTAAAAATGTACTTTAAAGTAAAACTTAAAAAATGCACTTTTTGAATTTGAAGTACACTACACATGCATGTTCAGTCTAACTAAACACACTTTTTCGTAAGGGAAGTCATACAGGTTTTAAAGACATGAGGATGAATGACAAGAGTAAATGATGACAAAATTTAAATTTTGGGGTGAAGGAGGCATATTCTTAGGCTTTCATTCAGCACAAATTAGAAAGCCACAGGATTTCCAGCTCCTATTGCCTCATACTCCAATGCAAGCCTTCCCAAGATGCATTCTCTTTCATATCATATCCTACAATATGCAGCCAGTCCAGCCAATCCCTCAGATATGAGTCTTGGTCAAACGTCACCAAAAACACCCAAATTGCACGACTTTAAGAGGAATATTCTGTTAGAGATGGTTCTGCATGAAGAGTCAAAGAGCCGTCATTCCTGTAATGGTGAATGGAGCGCTGGAAGGGCTTGAGCCACATGCCTGCAGCGGTGAAAAGCGTAATGGTTCACAGACAGGCTGTTATGGGGAAGTTGGCGTAACTTGGCGAGGGGGGAAAGCCCTCTGCTGGTGGGTGACTGCAAAGGTAAGAGCCGCAAAACTCTGGGTTGCTCAATCTGCTGCCAGAAGCAGAATACAGTACCTGCCTTTCTGATTGGTGCAGAGATGTTACTGAGGGTGGAAGGGGCTGTGAAGGAAAAGGCATCACAGGATATGACATCACACTCAACAAAACACTCGAATCAACCACCTTAGCCAGCGGTCATCTAACTCAAGCACTACATCCATAGTCACCTACTCGCAGCCTTGCTTGCTATCTTATGCATGCAGGCAGATCCTGATTTTGTGGGACAAAAGGTTATTTTTTTTGGAATTTAGAAACATTTCTATGGGGATTATGACCTAACTTGTAGGAGGAGAGAGCAAGCATATTCATTCTTGCTGTGGGGGATGTAAGTTAACTAATATGAAGCTAAAAACAACACACAGCAGTTCAGTCTTGCTTCGAAGTAAAGCAGGACTCTGAGAAAGTTGAGTTAGCCGGAAGCATTGCAGTTTGGAGGGAGTGCAGAGCAGAAGACTGCAAACCTCACGACTGCCCAGGGGACGCCGGCCCAGCCGAGAGCCACCTGGGCCCCGGCTCTGAATCTGAGACTGGGGGTAAAAGATATCAAACGGACTGGGCTTTCCTTTAGGATGTTGCCAAGCTGCCTAAGGAGGAGAATCACAACAGAATGGACAAAATACTCACTGACAAACACACACATACATTCTCTTTTCAGCTAGAGCACCTGAGACCTCATTTTAACTTTGGAGCCACTGAGGGGGGTTTTAAAAAGCGCTTTGAAGAATGTTTTGTAGACTGTTGTTTCTGGGAATACTATGAGGGAGGAGCTTAGTAAAGTTTTCTCCTTTAGACAGAGAGACAGGGCTGATTAACTTGACTTACTGGCTGACAGTAAGTGTTTAGATAGATAGATACTCACTCTGTACTTCTCTTCCACTCTACTGTTGTTCTTACAGTCTGGATGCCATACTGTAGAACCTGAGAGAGACAGAGAGAGAGAAATTAAGATAAAATATGGGTGGGTATATCAGAATTCTTTTACCACATGGTCTTTTACAACATTTTGTTCAATAACTAATACTTTTTATTTTATTTTATTTTATTATTTAGCTAAAACAATGAAACCACCCGTATTTAGACATGTCCCAAACTATAGTAACATGGTTACAAAAATTGCAATATTAATGAACAACACACAGAAAATAAAACATTTCAAACCTGTTAACAGCTTAAATAACATGTAATTTGAACTTCAACCCTGTTACCAAAGTTATCATAAGAAAAATGACCAAACAAATATATTCTGTTACACCAAATACACAAAATAATGATCTTTAAAAAAGCATCATATGACCCCTTTAATTTTTGGGAAGTATAAATTTATCAAGAACTATTGTTCAATTTTATTATATTTTATTTATTTATTATTTCATCTGATTTCTAAAATTAGAAAAGCATCTATATTTAGACATGTCAACTAGTTAGTTTCATTAGTTTCAGCCTTATCGTGGAAAGTAAGAGCAATGCTTCAATCCTCTGTATTAAAGGTATCATTAAAATGTTGTGCTCACCCTGTAAGTACATCTCCTCTCCCTCCGTGAACATTTGATTGCATCGGCTGCATCGTGCACAGCTTGGATGGTAGTGCTTATCTCCTGCCTGTCAGGGGCAAAGGTCAACATTCAGAGGTCAACATGATTCATAAGAAACACAAGAAAAAACATTCCAGGGAGACACTGGACAAAATAATATAACGAGACTGGACAAAACATACTGAAATTCCTTAACATCTGTGACAAAGCGTAAAAGTCTGTGGGGGACAGAGCAGGTGTGCTGTCACTTCATTGCACTTCACTTCTTCTAAAAAAGGCTCTTTCTCTCCTCTTTCCTTCATTCTTTGTGTTTTGCTCTCATCACTCTATAATCATGAATGAACCTCTGTTAAGATCAGCAGAGTCACTGTTTGCACAGCACACTATCCCGTATTACCTTATCCCGCCACACAAAAATACCCTCCTGACCTCCGAATGCTTCCAGGTCAGGGGAACAAAGGCATGCACATATACACACTTCACATCAACATACAGATCTTGTTTAATGGTTTTAGGCACCTATATAATATTGCAAACTGGATGTGAACCTGCATCACCCAGCTCAACATGTCAGAAGCGTGTGCTAACCACCGCAACACGGTCTGCCTGCTACAGCTATGGGCTGGAATGCTGATATTTGAGAGCTGGGAGGTTCACCAGAGAGCTGCAAGCCTGAGAAACACTGCAGTTTGTCAGACTTTTTAAGCTTCATAAGGCTTGTGGAGGTCATTCTCAACCACAAGCAGAAAAATCAAAAGTTTATCACAGGGCATGATCAGGCAAAGATATTGGGGTTTCAGTTGCAGATATATACACTACTGTTAAAAATTTGATGGTCAAGATTTTTTTTTTTTAAGAAATGAATACTTTTAGGTGCAGTACATTCCACATAATATTCATATGGTTGTGTATGTATGTATCATCACTCTAGGTCGTGTATCCCACAGCTGTAAGTCATCTGCAGTACTGTTTCATCATTCTGCTGCTTTCAGTTAGCTCTGGGAATACTGATGAGCCCTGCAGTTCTGACAGCTCTCTCTCCTTTAAAACCTCTTTAAAACTCTTTTTCTTGAGGCAACACTTTGTCTTACTTCCCTTTTTCTTCTTTTTGATTTGTACCCTTTATCTGTCCATTTTTCTCTCCTGTATTGTTTTTGTTACTTCTTAAAAGCATAGTTCACCCAAAAAAAATGTAAATTATGTCATTGTTTACTGTACTGAACCTCGTATTATTCCAAACCTGTATGACTTTCTTCTTTGGAACACAAAACATATATATATATATATATATATATATATATATATATATATATGGCATAACACATACAGTGGATACATTTTCACTACTTACGAGTTTAAACGATTGTCTGTGTACGTTCTGTTTCTTTGTCTGTGACAAAAGGAGTTTCAGTCAGGGCAGGAAGCAGGTGGTCACAAGACATGTGACAGTCACGCTGTATAGATCCCGTGTTTGCGGGCCTGAGGGCATCAGTTAATTTACTCATCCTTTTCCTGTTTGGACATAATAGTTCCATCCATTGGTGGTCACAAGACATCGTGGTTTCTATATGTTGTATTTTTTATTTTTTTATTTTTTTTTTGAATATTCTAAACTTTCTTTCTTTTTAATTGAATTAAATGGGGCTGGAGCTGCTAAAATGACAAAAAACAGTATCATAAAACTTCGAGTCTTGCCAATATGATAGTTTTGCATGAAAAACAGACTGAACTTTGTCACTCATTGATAATTTTCCTTCTGCACAAGATCTGAAATGAACTACAAAAGTCATACAGACTCTTTTGACACCTTACTCAGTATTTAAAAAAAATGACTTTTCATCATGCAAAGTTATTAATTGGCTGCAGAAAAATTGGAATATAGCACTACTTTTATAATATTTGTAGCCTATAGTGCATTTTGGAGCTCAACAAAAAGTAGCCAGAATATTCTTTAAAATATCCCCTTCTGTGTTTAATGGAAATCAGCTATATTTAGACGTACCAAACTATGGAAAAACAAATAATAAAACAACTCAAAAAGTTTGAATTTCATCCATGTTACCGAAGTTATGGTAAGAATTTTTTTTATATTTATGGGAAATATAAATCTAATAATAACTACTATTTTTTTTACTATTTTATTTTATTTTATTTTTAAATTTTATTCAGAAAGGTTTGGAATGATTGAATTGTTTCCAAAAAAAAAAAAAATTGCTCTTTTTCTCTTTGAAATTCATATCATACATTCACAGGAGCTATAATGCACCAGAAAACCTAAAGCTTTGTTTATTTCTCTTGTTTCTCATACAGGCACACAATTCAGTTGTTTTGTTGTTCCTCTGTCAGCTGGAGCTCTGAGTGTTGAGGAGGGAGTTGCCCATTTGGCTCCTCTTCAGGGGAAACATCCCATGGTCCTCTGCTGTCTTTAACTATGAGGCAATGCAGCTGAAACGCATGATTTCACACAGATGTGTCCCCTTGGCTCCTGGGCCTCGTTGCCATGGCAACAAGGCCATGTAACCGTTTTCCAGTAAACAAACAAGAGTGACAACATGTTCTACCTCTCTGTGTAGCGCTCTGTCTGAGACTGACGGCTAGCAGTCATTTCCTATTGCATCACAAGAAGCCAACACAGAAAACATAGAGCAGTGAACTCTGAATAAAGGGGCCAAGAACAGTCCACGCCTCTGCTTCAGCCCAGATGGAGGGGTGTGGACAGAAGACAGAGCCAGAGAGAGGGAGGGAGACCGGGATGAAGAGAAAACAGCAAGCGGGAATGACGACTGGGAAACAAAAAATGTAAGAGAGAGAAAAAACAGAAAGTACTTGGATAGATGACTATTATTTTGGATGCTGCTGGTCCCATGCACATGATATTAATGTGCAGCTAACTAACCCTACTAAGTTGTTTATTCATCATTAACCAGCAAAACTTTATTGAACTAAAAGCACTATACTGAAAAACAGCTTTTGCTGGAAGCCAGTTTCCAAACCTGGCTAAAATTGTGTTCAGATGGTTTATCTCCCAAAATGGTGTTCAGCTGGTTTAGCTACAGTAGCTGCTCTCCTAGCTCAACATGGGCAAAATTTGAGTTGACCAGGTTGGTCACTGCATGGTCCAGAATGGACATATTTACTGGCCTTTTCAGTAAAGGTGCTAACATTTGTAATGTGTGTATGAATGCCAGTAGGAGTCATTTTCATCTGTAGTCAGTAACATAACCCGCTTTGTATTGCCTGACTCACAGTATGCATTGTTGTGTATATCTCCTCTCCTATCCGAACTTAAACACTCCACTCCACAAACCTGCCCACTGAGGAAAGAGCCAGACAAGTGAATCTGACAAGGTGCTGTTTGCTGAGACAGTGGACAATACAGTATTACAGCAAACAGAAAAAAACAAACCATGTGAACAAATCCCAACAGTCACAAAGTCACAAAGTGTTAAAATAAAGAATACATAAAAAAAAATAATAATAAACACAAAAAAGTTTTCTTTAATGTAATAATTACTGTTCAGTATTGATAATCTTGGGAGATTGATAATTCCCAATACAGCTGTAATCGCATGCCCCTGTAAAAGCTTGTTTTGGTTTGGTAAGATACTTAAAATAATTATTTTATGCTCACCAAGGCTGCATTTCAAAAGTATAGTATAAACAGTAATATTACAAAATAGAATTACAATTTTAAATGTTCTATTTTATTATATGAATTACTCCTGTAAGAACAAAGCTGAATTTTCAGCAGCCATTACTCCAGTCTTTAGTGTCACATGATTCTTCAGAAATTATTTTAATATGCTGATTTGGTGCTCAATTAACATTAATGTTGAAAACAGTTCTGCTGCTTAATATTTTTGTAGAAAATGTACTACATTTATTTCAAGATTATTTGTTGAGTAGAAAGTTTAAAAGAACAACATTTATTTGAAATAGATGTCTTTACTGTCACTTTTGATGAATTTAATGCATCTTTGCTGAAACAATTGGTCACAATTTAAGGATCAGTTCCCGCTATTAACAAACCATTAAATGACTTTTGCCTCAGTAAACTCATAATTTGCTCATAATAGTTAGTAAGGCAGTTGATAAATTTAGGTGTTAGGGATGTAGAATATGGTCATGTAGAATAAATGCTTTATAAGCACTAATAAACAACCATTGTGTTAATAATAGTCATGCTAATAGGCAACTAGTTAATAGTGAGAATTGGTCCCTAAACTAAAGTGTTACCAAACATTTTTTTACTGACTCCAAATTTTTGAATGTATGAAAGTCTGCACTCAAAAAGTCATAAAATTCTTCTGAAGCCAAATTATGTGAGCTATGCCATCCATATTAATTTTATAGCGCTGTAGTCTTACTCTGTCAGCTATTTTCTCATTTGCATTCTTCAAGAAAAACATTTAGAGGGGAATATGTAAGATAAAGTTACTGATATTAAATGCAACTCCAGTAGGTCTTGTGACCTTCAAAAGAACAACCTTTGAGCAATTTCTCTCCGGTTGTCTGGTCTATTCTGGATATGCATGTGTGTGTGGTGAGATAATGCAGGGCCATGTGGTGCGGCAGACTTGTCATTTCTGGATAGCCTCATTAGACACTCATTGGAGAGGTTTAATGAGAGTGAAACTTCATTGCAGTTAAATAACTTATCCACGGTTGACATATAGAAGCTGACAGCCCAGAGTAATCAAGCTTACTCAGAACAAAATAGCATGTGTGAGCATCTGTACCCAACATAAATGTTTAATAGCACACAGAAAACAAACTGCTAACTGCAAAGTCTTAATTGTAGGCCTAACCAAACCTAAAATAATAGTTCCACAGCAATGTTTATAAGCACTATTCATCCCTCATCAAATCTGAATGGCCTCCTTGGCACGGGCGTAATGCCATCTGCAGACTGGCGGCATCTGTTGCTCTCAACATTACATTGAGATTCTACACATATCTGCTTGGATTTATATAGACAGAGAGCTGGTTTTGATCTTCTGCGCTCACACATGCATAAGATTCCAGCGCACTTCCTTTCCACCATCTGTGGCTGCACAGATCCCCATAAACACAACTAGTCTACTTGAGTGTATAAGTGCAAACAGACTGTGTATGAGAAAGCACTGATGAGAACCGGTAACTAATAGACTGTTGACAGGTCAGCATAATCAGGATGACAAAGCTTGACCATGATCACCAAAACAGCAATGAAAAAGCTCTGAAGTATTTACACTCTGACATAACTTCAAACATGTTTGTCAAGTGCTTTAAAATAAAAAATGAGAAACCACCTCTATTGAAACTATTAGAAACATTACCTCTGGCAGGCTGCTCGTGTGGCACCCCAGCCCTGTGACTTTGCAGTTAAATCACTTTTGTCACTTGCACTCTCTTGTTCGAGAGAACTCCTATATTCCCCTTCAGTCTCGCACGTTTTCCTTTTGATTTTTCTTGAGAATTTTCCTAAATTCCCCCCTCTCTATCTCACCGCTCTCCCACCCTGTCAGAGGGGCCCGGCCTCAAAGGGGCCGTCCCGTGTACAATAGCTAGGCGGGACCTTGAAATCCACCCAATGCCGCTGTTTTGCTCTATTCCTATAGGGCCGGTGTCAGTTCTAAAATGTTTGATGAATGGAGCAATGATGTAAGTTCAGCCATGTTGTTGGATGTTGAGATGTGTGTGGACATGGGTCAGACTAACGACTCCACTCTTAGGGGATCCAGATGTTTAGTGGGAGCAGAAGTGTAAGAATCTGGAACGCTGACACATACTGACATGACTATAAAACACTGAAAATCCACAAGAGACCATTTTTAATATCCGTAAGCAGGAAAGCTCACAATAGAGATCTCAGGGATATCTCACGTGTCTTCTAGAAAGCAATGGGACTAAATTGAAAGCAAATTACTGTAGGTCTCCTGCTTCTCAGATTTTTCTGATTCTGATTCATCAGAAGAAAACTCAACAGTTTCAAACTGTGCTCAAATTTGTCAGGATAAGATATTTTGTTGCTAACAAAAGTCAGTGATTTCAATCTGAACTCAAAGGTTTCTTATCAAATTACTACCAATATTAATTTGTTGGCATGTGTTGATGAATGATTGTATGGCAACAATTTGTGTAATTTTTATTTATCTTAATGAACTGTTCATTTAACTGTTAAGTAAATACATCATAAATGCAAAATGAAACTTTACCTACATTGAAAAAAGTACACTATCTTTAAAAAGTTTGGGGTTGGTAAAAACAGTAATATTGTCAAATATTTTTTTTTTACAATTTTAGTACAGTTTTTACTTCAATATATTTCAAAATGTAATTTATTCCTGTGATGGCAAAGCAAAATTTTCAGCAGCCATTACTCAAGTCTTCAGTGTCACATGATCCTTCAGAAATTATTTTAATACGCTGATTTGGTGCTCAGGAAACATTTCTTATTATTATCAATGTTGATCACAGATGCTGCTTAATATTGTTGTCAGGATTCTTTGATGAAATGAAAGTTAAAAAAACAGCATTTATTTGAAACAGAAATCTTTTGTAACATTATAAACATCATTATTTCACTTTTGATCAATTGAATGTGTTCTTGCTAAATAAACGTATTTATTTAAAAAAACGTAATTTTTTTTTAACTTAAAAAATACTTTTTGAAAAGTTTACTGACCCCAAATGTCTTAATGGCAGTGTAGCATAAATTAATTTTATTACATTGCATTTTATAATATTACAATATTTTAATAATATTACTCAAAAAATATTATTAATAAATAAATTCTAAATAGATTAACATAAACATTTCTCTTGCTTTATCCTCAGTGCATTATTAAGGGATTAGATTGTTCATTCTACTTTATATATTTAAGAAGGCAATATAATAATGCTGCAACCCCCTTCACATCTGGAGCCTAGCTATGATACCTTAATGAGCTGCCTACTGTATGCAGGCAGCTCAATAGTATTAGAAAGAGCCAAGAGTCTAATACATATATATATAGTTGCTCACCTCCAAAACTTTCCCTGTGATAAACTGATGACAGGCCTCACACTGCACGCCAAAATGGATCTGGTAGTCTTTCTCACAGTATGGAGAACCATCCCTTAAAAAAGAGAGCAGGACAGGAAGAGAGATTTATGTTTTTACTGTATTCTATTTCACCTCAATGAAACCAGGATAAGAGCAAAAATTGAATGCTATAAGAAAAGAGGACAGATAAGAGATGGGGAATTGTAGAGAGAAAGCGGGAGGCACGAGATGGCAAGAGATAAAAAATAATTAAGGCATAGCTCACTTGCTGATGTACTCCCCGCTCAGCACTTTCCCACAGGCCTTGCACTTGAAACAGCCGAGGTGCCACTGGCTGTCCAAGGCCAGAAGAGCCTGACCGTTCTTTATATCCCTGCCACATCCTGCACAGTCTGCAAGAAAACACACACAGATGCAGACCATCACACACACATAGTGAATACTAATAGCGGCCTGAAAATGACATTTACAGACTACATGACATTTTGACATGTTAATGAGAAACAGGAAGTTGGATAACACATATTAAAGAGCTTTTTTTATAAGCCAAAAATATTTAGTTGATCAGCCATTAGCCATGATAAGATTTGCAATTGCTATTCACAAGATATTTAATTTAGCGCTTTTCCTATAATGCATAGCAGTGTGATTTTAGTGTTATTTACATACTATTATAGAATTTATTGATATTTTGAACTAGATTTTATTTTAATATTTTCAAATTTCATATACATTTTGTAAATACGTTATATGCTTGTCATTTTTATCATTTTTAAATATTATTTTAAAATAATTTTAAAATAATTATTAAAGCTATGTAGCTTTCAGTTATTTTTATTTCAGTTTTAGTTTTGCTAATTTCAGTACTTTTCAGTCTCATTTTTGTTCTGTTTTTTAAGTATAAGTTTCTCATGTAAAATTCATATTTTATGTCAGCTTTATTTCAATTACCGACAACTGTTTTAAATAGTTTTAGTTAGCAATATCGATGATACACAGTAGGGCAGGCATATTCAGATACATGCAATTGCATATTTTTAAAGTTTTTGGGGTCACTTGTGCACAAACAATTCTCTCCACTAGATGTCAGTGTCAACTAAAAAAAACTCCTTTCGTTTTTGAAAAGCCTGTTGATCTACAACACACAGCACTGACTATTCAGGCTCTCAGAAGTAATTTCAAGCAAAGCATATTGTAACCATAAAATTACTGCAGCGATCAATAGTGAATCATTATTATATTGCATGACTAATTGAAGGGCCTACAGTACCATTTCTAAAAGCAGAGCATCCTCCCTCCACAAGATAGAGCTTCCTCCTGGAGGAATGCGAGGGAATTTAGTTAATACATGTGTAACCTGTGTAAAAGGCTGAGGGATAAAAATAGCTCATGGTTGTCATCTTCTATTTATGTTCCTTGGCTGAAATCCCAAAAGCTTTTTTAAAAAGCAGGGATGGATGCGGAGGGGTGGGGAGGTCCCAGACGCTGCTGATGTTGCTTGAGGCACAATGGTAACCACTGACAGTGAGGAGAGTATTTAATGCACCGCTCTGAATCTAGCGCTCTAATGCATCATTTAAGCCTTCTCAACCTCTGCCTGCACTGTGTGTGTGTGTTTCAAAGAGACCTGCGTTCAATCCACCTGGCATAAGGTTTATCTAAAGTATCAGACCCAGTGCAGGTTTTTAGAAGTGTCATGCCGTAAAAGCTTTGTGGGGTTTGCCAAAGCAGCATTATCATGGCTCGAAACAATCAGCACCTTCCAAAAAACAAAGCACTTTAAAGACTTTCATCAGCCTCAAATAATTTCCTGGGGCTCGTGAATGACAAATATTCAGCCAAGCATGACACAAAGAGATATTAAGGAGGGCTCTTTAAGTCTGTGTGTGTAAGTACGGATGCTTGCACATATAGGAGAAGAGGAGAAAGTTAACTGAGAAAGAGGGAAAGAAGAACATGCAGGAAAGCGAGACGGACACATAGGCAGATTAAAATAAAATTCATGATTATAACTAAAATAGTGATACCACATCGGCAAATATTTAATTGTGCATGCTCATTTTCCCTTTTTTACATTAGGATTATCTTTGTTGTTATGTAACGCTCATTTAAAGTTAACATGGTACAAATGTATTATTTAGCATATCTCAAAATTAATATTAATTTTTCATACCGTACATTATAATGCTGTGATGTCTAGAAACACTTGTAGCATACTACTTATACTTTATTTTATTATATTTTGTTGATTTTTAAATGTTTCTAAAATAAGTCTCTGCTGTTCACCTAAGCTGCATTTATTAGATACAAAATTACAGTAAAAACAGCAATATTATGAAATATTATTTCAATTTAGTTAATTTATTTTAATTCAAATTCATTTTGAAATTGACTATTTTATGCTAATCTTAATTACTCTAGTCTTCTGTCACATGATCCTCCAAAAATAATTCTAATATTATGCTTTTTATATATGTTCTTGAATAAAAGTATTAAATCTTATTTTTGAACAGTAATGTGTGTGTGTGTCCCGCACCTTTTTCCCACCCAAGCAAAAACAGTCAAACTCCACTGATACATGGTCTACACAATGTTTTCTCAATCAACCCAATCCCATGATGCAATGCTTAGAATTACATTAATTCTCTCCTCTGCAACACAGCAGCTATTCATTGCTAAATTGCTCCTGTAATTGTCCATCACCTGATGTTGTTATGCAACAATGATTCCCTGCATTATGACAATTTGAGTTTAATGACTAGAGCCATTTACTATAATAAGGAAATCCCAAACCTCAGGAAATCAGCACATTTTACACATGCGGAGTCCTGACCTGTCAGCATCCATCAGTCCAGAATGTATCAGAGAGCGGAAGGTCAGAGAAAGCGAGTGAGAGAGAATGGGACAACCAGCAGGCACAGGAGTGCTCTGAGCTTTTCATTGGCCCTGAGCCTCTCTCATTCTCTGTGCCTGTCTGCTTGACTCCTGGGGCCCCGCAGCTTAAATTACACCAAGAGAATCCCTAATATACCGGAGGAGGATGGAGAACTTCCTCAAAATGAGATAAAAGAGTGAGAGAAATCAAAGAGAGAAACATTTATAAGGAGATCAGCTTTTCCCTGGTTGACAGCACAGGAATTGGTCTAAGCATCCTGTCAACTCAAGTAACCCTAGAGGAGTCTGAAATGAAGCGGGGATTTTTATTACAATGATATTTCAGAATAAATTCTTGCCTGTGTAAAAGCCATCATGGTTTTTGGGTGCTGTGGATAGGTGCCAAGGCATTCCTATGTGGTTGTTAATGTACAGCACATGTATTCTGACTGGTATAAGCACAATGCTTCATACTTGCCTAAGTTGCTTGTGGCAGTTGTTGGAGGTTTCAAATGTATTTTGACTGGCTTTTAGAACATTGCTAATAAAGGCTGGAGTGCACTTTTAAAAATGTTCTGATTTTAGAACACTAGGCGTCATACAAGTGCCAACTGTAAATATAATGGCAATGTAATGTAAATGTAATTACAATTGTAAATGGTAACAGGAAGAACTGGGCATCATACACTAAATGAATGAGGATTTAAGTTGTTCAGAACACAACTACCTCATGCGCCTTTTTGACAGGAGACACACAAGACAGATGAAGAGACACGGAGCTTCAAACTCGCAGCAATGACCTTGAGTCCTGAGCAGTATAAGACCTGGCAACACGCATAAACTACACAATCTAACACATCTATAAAAGGGGGATGATTGTGGCAAGCTGAAATCTGAGTAGGACACTAAAACATAACCAATAAGCTCAAACACACGTGTGTGAGAGTGTGGACTCACTACTAGAGGTGCTGATGTCTTTGGGAGTCGGGGAAGTTGGCTGGACGCAATGCTGGCAGAGACAGTCTTTTCCATTAAACGTGACTCGATCACCAGCGGGAAATGGCCGTCTGGCAACAGAAGAAGGATGCAAAGACATTTAGGCATTTACACTACCACTTAAAAGCCTGAGGTCAGTAAAAGTAAAAAAAAAAAAAATAATAATAATTAATACTTTTATTCATATTTAGGATGCATTAAATCGACGAAAAGTGACAGTATAGACTACAAAAAAAATCTATTTTAGATAAATGTTCTTTTGAACTTTCTATTCATCAAAGAATCCTGAAAAAAAGCATATTAAGCAGCATAACTGTTTTCGACGATGATAATAAAAAATGTTTCTTGAGCATCAAATCAGCCTTTTAGAATTATTTCTGAAGGAGCATGCGACACTAAAGACTAGAATAAAAGTTGCTGAAAACTCAGCTTTGTCATCACATTAATAAATTACATTTTAAAATATATTAAAATAGAATATTTTAAATTGTAATATATATATATATATATATATATATATATTAAACGTGTATATATCAGGGATGTTCCCTCTGAGGAGGCAAGGGAGGCAGTGTCTCCTCAAAAAAATTGGATGACAAAATAATTGATATTACATGCATAAATCACAAATATTACTAAATATGGCATTAAAAGTACAAAAGTCACTCGTTTTTATAAAGTAACACTGTCCAACAGCGACACCCGCAGGTAAAGTTAACGTCAAAATAAAACTTGAAATTGTCTGAAAACGTGATGACTGCATCAGATTTTAGTGAGCGTTCAGCGTGATGAAATGAAAAGATATATCTTCGTGTCTGTGGCAGTGTTTACAGAGCTTTTATGACAATGACCCGAAATAAGTTGACTATTAAAAAGAACAGCTGAACATCAGTTCACAAATAAAAAATATCGGTAACATTTTACAATACGGTGTTATTTAATGTGTTAACTAATATGAACAAACAATGAACATTTATTACAGTATTTATTCATCTTTGTTTACAATAGTTAATACAAATACTGTTGTTCATTGTAAGTTCATGTTAATTCACAGTGCATAAACTAATGTTAACAAACACAACTTTTGACTTTAATAGTGCATTAGTAAATGTTGAAATTAATATTAACTAAGATTAATAAATGCTGTAGAAGTATGCTATTGTTTATTCTTAGTTCATGTTATGCCGCACATATATATTAATCCAAAATAGTGTATAACATTCTATTACCAAACATTTGTGCTGTTATTTCCAAAACAAAAGTTGTCAAACTTAGTCTGAATATCTGGATGAATATTCAGTTACGAGAACTTTTCTATCCTGTAGGATCTTTTTAAAGAAAAAATATCTTTCTAAAAAATACAATATTTTGTTGTGCTAGCAAGTTCAAGGCAAAAAATGTCCATAACATACAAATATAAATGTGACCCTGGACCACACAACCAGACTTAAGTCGCACGGGTATATTTGTAGCAATAGCTAACTGTCACGGGATGCTACTGTGAGGAGCACGGAGCGAGGAACGAGGAGACGCAGAGTCCAATTCAAACATACAGACTTTAATAATATCCAACGGAACAGGAAAACACATGTAGCAAAGGTTGGCATGAACAATTCCAGACAAGGGAGAACAGAACGGGCTCAAACTCAAATAGGGCAGATAACGAGGGGCAGAAAGGTGAGGAGGATAACTAATAACAAGGAACAGGTGACTACTAATATTGGGAACAGGAAACAAACCAAATAAAGACAAACAGGAACATACACGTGACATTACTGGCGCCCATTACTGGGGTGGGTGCCCTGGAGGCTGGTGCAAGACAGGGACACAGGGAGGGCCTCCAGGTTGGATCAGGCAGTCCGAGGAGCCATGGCGGAGCAGGCAGACTAGGAAGCCATGGCGGAGCAGGGGACTCAGGAGGCCATGGCGGAGCAGGGGACTCAGGAGGCCATGGCGGATCAGGCAGTTCAGGTTGCCATGGCAGAGCAGGGGCTCAGGAGGCCATGGTGGAGTAGGCAGTTCAAGTTGCCATGGTGGAGCAGGGGACTCAGGAGGCCATGGCGGTTCCTCCGTGACCTTAGCCGGCTCGGCCACCATGGCCACATGGCCCCCCCTAAAAATTTTCTTGGGGAAAATTAGGAATTCTGAGGGGCGCTCTGCAGGAGCGGGCACTTGAGGGCTCTCTGGAGGAGCGGGCACTGGAGGGCGCTCTGGAGGAGCAGGCACTGGAGGGCGCTCTGGAGGAGCTGACTCTGAAGGGCGCTCTGAAGGGCGCTCTGGAGGTGCAGGGCTGGCTAATTCGGGGGAATCAGGAGACGAAGGAGGGCTGGACGGGACCAGTGGAGACGAAGGAGACTCAGGGGATGATGGAGAGCTGGAAGGGACCAGCGAAGACGAAGGAGAACTTTCTGGAGCGGATTCTGGGGTGAGGACAGGAGCCGAGAACTCTGGAGGAAGTGCCATGTCCAAGAGCGCCGAGTCAGCGGCGGCCGGCGGGCTTGACGTAGGAGAGGCCAGCGAGCCTGACGGCGAGCTGGTTCTGGATCGGGGATGGACACTCTCCAGACACCGGAGGATCACTTCCCTCCAGCTCAGTCCAGTGGTGTCTGGAAGGTCCACGGGGCGATAGTAGTTGGCCCCGATCCAGAACAGAGAGTTAATTGTGGCGTCACTCCCACGCATACTCCACAAGCGGGAGATCCAGGCGAGCTAGGGCGGCGAATCGAGCGGCAACTTCCATAGCCGCGGGGAGAAACTGGAAAAACAAAAAACTTTCAACAAATGAAAACAAAACGGGGAGAAGGGGTGCCGCTTATTATTTTGTTAGGTCTGTAATTCTGTCACGGGATGCTACTGTGAGGAGCACGGAGCGAGGAACGAGGAGATGCAGAGTCCAATTCAAACATACAGACTTTAATAATATCCAAGGGAACAGGAAAACACATGTAGCAAAAGTTTGCATGAACAATTCCAGACAAGGGAGAACAGAACGGGCTCGAACTCAAATAGGGCAGATAACGAGGGGCAGACAGGTGAGGAGGATAACTAATAACAAGGAACAGGTGACTACTAATAATGGGAACAGGAACCAAACCAAATAAGGACAAACAGGAACATACACGTGATACCAACAAAGTAATGTATGGGTCAAAATTATCGATTTTTCTTTTATGCCAAAAATCATTAGGATATTAAGTAAAGATCATGTCCCACGAATATATTTTGTAAATTTTCCTACCGTAAATATATCACAACTTAATTTTTGATTAGTAATATGCATTGCTAAGGACTTCATTTGGACAACTTTAAAGGCAATTTTCTCAATATTTTGATTTTTTGCACTCTCAGATTCAAGCTTTTCAAATAGTTGTATCTCAGCCAAATATTGCCCTAACAAACCATACATCAATGGAAAGCTTATTTATTTAGCCTTCAGATGGTGTATAAATGTCAATTAAAAAAATTGACCCTTATGACTGGTTTTATGGTCCAGGGTCACAAATGATACATGTATTAACACAGATGAAATGGGCCTGCTTTTGGGTAACTCTTACTTGCAATCAGTGCAGACAAAACATGTGGGATGGTAAGTCTTCCCAAGAGCAGTGACCACCTCTCCTTCCACAAAGTCTCCACAGCCATTACAGCGAGTGCCATGAAGCCTCTGGTAGTCCAGTGTGCATAGGTACTCCCCGTTCTTCATGAAGAAACCACCTTGGGCCAGGTCACAACCACACACTAAATGTGAATACAAGAACAGAGAAATCAGAAATTAGAATAATTAGTTTAATGAGATCTTACAGAACAAGACAGTCTTGAGTGAAATCTGAAACACACCATTGTAGTAAATCAGCTCAAAAGTGAAATATTTATGACTAATTATAACTGGTTATGATTAATAATAAATATTTAGATTAGATCTTCGAATTAACTGTAGCAGAATCAATATTACCATTACTTGATCTGTCCGTCCACCGAGCAGACAAAATAATCATTTATCAATTCAAAGAAAGATTATTTTCCCGGCCAAGGAAGAATACTTTCCTTATTTATGCAGTGCTAGCAGTAATTTAACATATGTAGCAAGGGTTCAAAACATTAATTGACTTCGAATTGTGAGCAGCAAACAGAGGCAATCGATCGTGAATATAAGGGATTTAATAAATGAAACTATATCTAACATATAACTAACTAAGCAAAACACATATATACAGAATGAAACAAAGTAAGAAAAAGAGAGAGGGAAGTAAAAGGATGGCAGTATTTCACATCAAGTTTAAACACAACCTTTGAGATCATCAGAGAATCAAAAATCACCTTAAAGGGGGCTGAAACTTAAACACGCATTTGTGTGTGTGTGTGTTAGTTTGCTTGGTCAGCCAGGCCCATCGGTGCCTGGCCCCGGGGGTCATTTACGTCTCTTTGGAATGTGTTTGAAATTCAATGGCCAGACGAGAGTGGTGAAACTGTTTAGCATCTCCTTGATAGTGGGGGGGGAGGGGGAACTATTGGCCATTTAGCACCCATATAAGTGTAAAGTCTGTGACCAGGACTGTAATTTATATGCAAATGTCAAAAGCTAAAAGGGTCTCTTAAGCCATAAAACCCAAAGATCATGCATGATTCTACGCAGACGCTACACCATCTTCAAAATAAATGACACTTAGTTTGGCTCTTTTGAAACACAACTCAGTAGTCACACAAGTGCATCTCTTTTGCACTGGGATTTATACATTTTAGCTGCCAGTAAACATAAGGTCAGGGGGCTTATGCTTATCTTGGCTAATGTGTCTGTGGACAAAGGCGTATAAAGAAAGAGTTTGGTTCGCTGAAGATTTCCTGAGGCTTCAAGATGCTTTCAAGACTCTAGCCCAAGTTCAGACATTTTATATAGGTCTGCATGAATAGGTGTGTTAGGTCTGTGTCCTCTTGGCAAGCGTGTCTATGTGTAATCCTGCCGTCACACATGCCAAATCTGTCTGAAAGCTCCTTGGCAGGCAGAGACTGATATTTAACAGCTTGTTTAGCGTTACATGATACCCCCTTCTCAACAAGCCTGTTTTTCTCTGTCCATCCTCCTACATTCCAACCTGTAAAAATATTAGGTGTATTAGAATATATTAGAAATAGGTATATATTAGAAAATAGAGTGTACATTTACAGAAAAATATGGGGAAGTAATAGCATAGGATGCAGACTACATTCAAACCCCCATCTCCAGTTTTAGCAACACAGCTTAATGTGTTTGCCACAAGTGTGCTAATATCAGAATGAAGAATCAGAATCAGAATGAGCTTTATTACCAGGTATGTTTACACATACGAGGAATTTGTTTTCGTGAAAGAAGCTTCCACAGTGTAACAGAATGACAGTGACAGAACAAAAAAATACAGATAATAAAATAGAACAAGTAAATAAGGAATAAAAATATACAGTTGTATGTACAGGTATATAACAATAGACAGTTGTACGTACAGGTATATTATGTGCAAATTGAAATGTAGACTGAGTATGTGTGTTAGATAAATAAGTGTATGGCACATTTTATGGAGGACTGTTTACTGATCCTGGTAGAGTAGACTACAATGCTGGCTGTTCTGACTCATGGATTGTAAGTACGTTTTTTATATTTAAAGAGTTTTTATATGTGATATTTTTTATATTTAAAGCGAGTTTTTTTGTTTTTGAATCATCGCTCCGGCCTGACAGGGCATCATCACAATATGGTAAGGGGCGTAACATTTCCGTCACACGCTTGCGGTATTCGGCCAATCATAACGCACTGGATAGCTGGCCAATCACAGCACACCTTGCTTTTCAGAATGATGAGCTTTGTAAAAATCGACGCATTTCAGAAAGGCGGGGCATAGAGAAACAATAATTTACAGTATGTGGAAAATAATGTGTTTTTTGAACCTTAAACCGCATAAACACATTTTATTAAACCAAATACACAAAAGAATGTTCTTTTTAGCAACATCATATGACCCCTTTAAACAATTTGTTACAACTGTGTCATAGGGGGTGCATGTGAGCACCTTTTTGACTGATTATTATACCTTATGTTTTCATGGGCTTTATGAATGTGTGATCGTGAAATTTTTTTTTTTTTAAAGCAAATTCACTTCAAAATTTTTTAACATTTCAATGCAAAAATACAAATATAAATTAGAAATAAAGATATGCTTAAATGCAATGTTTTCTTATGTTTTTCCCTCATCTTGTGATTTGGCATGGCAGGCCAAATCAAAGGTCATCACAGGCCAACTTTGGCCTACGGGCAACACAAAACAGCACATATGTATACACCTCTAGTTAATAAAAGTGAGCAAATATAGTTTAATTGATAAGGAGATTCATTCCCGTCTTTGCCAAATGAATAATCTGACCTAAAAATTTAAATCATCATTTAGTTTAAACGTTTTTCACATTATGTTTTCAACACAAATCCAAAATGTTATTTGCAGTCTCATTTCCACAGCTGTTAACATATCTTTTGCTTCGTTGAATCTGTCTTCTGTTTCTGGAAGATTAGGTCCATTTAGACAGACGAATGTGACAAGCAGGTGGCTGTGGAGACGGCAGTGATTAGCAGCAGAGAGAGAGAGTTGTGTAAGAGTCGCAGCCAGTGCCCTCACTTGTGTCTGGCATTTGGGTAACCTTCACTGACAGGGTACAGAATGCCAGGATGCCAGTTTAGAAAATGTCATACCCATTAATGTTGTTTCACACACATCTTGTAACTACAGACCACAGGAACACAACTGCTATTCTCTTCACTACCATCCTGGGCCATCTACAGTTAACTAAACTACACTATAAAAATATTTTTTTGAACTTGTCAGTAATCTTTGGTTTATTTGCATATATTTGACAAAAAATTTCACATTTAAGTAAATGTTTTACATGCTGTTTCTTTGTCATTAATTGAAATGTACACACATTTTTGTACAATTTAACAAAAATGAAAGAGTAAAACATTTTTCTACACCAATGTATTTACTATATCAAATATTCAAATGATTTTTGATTATTTTATTATTTTAAAATATTTTAATAATTAAAAAAAGATCATTGTTAAATAATTGATTGCATTTTATAAGTTACAATAATGGAAGTAAGAACTTATCATTTAGCCCATTTCTTACCATTTTATTGTTGTACTGGTATTGATTTCAGCTATATTCAAGGCCCTTTGTTATACTGAAAAAAAAACTTTGATAACTGTCCTTGCCACTATGAACCTGCAGGGCACCAGAGCAGCTTGCACACAGCACCACCTTTTGGTCAAAAGTAGCATTGTTAGGTGAAATCCAAAATAGTTGTTGGTCCCCACTGACTCCCATGGTAGGGATATAAATACTATGGAAGTCATTGGGGACTGTTTGATTACCAGCATTCTTCATCTTCTTTTGTGTTCAACATAAGAAAGAAACTCATACAGATTTGGAACGACATAAGGGTGGACATAAATGATTACAAACTTTTCATTTTTGGGTGAACTATTTCTTTAACAGAAGAGTAGCAGTAGTTACATGGATTGGAGTGTCTGGGAGTTCAACTGTGTGTGTGTGTGTGTGTGTGTGTGTGTGTCGTGAGCAATGACGCAAGTGTAATGACGCTCTCAGCTGTCTGTCAGATCCCTTCTCAACAGAACAGCCTGTTAACTCCTCCCAGAACAAACATCCATCCATTCTCTCAATCACTGAGCCAACCTCTCCATCCTCACACTCTGCCTCTGTCTGAATGGAAACAGAAAAAAATGATTCATATAAACTACTGGAAAGATTTAAGAAGAGTAGGGACATTTGATTCAACTCAAATGTGAATTTTCAGTTCAGATTCAGTTCATATACCATGATGCAAAGAGCCTCAGAAACAAAGCCAAGTTACAATCTGTTCAGAGTGCAGAAGCGCAGAAAGCCCCGGGTTTCCCATATAGTATATGCAGACATCAAACGAGCTTTCACAGACTTCATCAATATTTTAATGAGTTTCCCAGCATGCTGTTTTCTCCCTGCACTTTAGTGGACGGCACTCTTTCAGCATGGGTTCCTCTCCACTTTGTTTGAGACTTCTACTTCTGCATGGAGAGACATCTCACCCTAAAATATACTGTAACAGCAGTGGGATGTATAGACAAACAGTCTCTGTGAAGTCGTCTCTCATCTTTTTACTACTGTGTGATTTTATACTTCATTTTTATGCACTTTAATCACTCTGTGAGATCAGCTAATGGAGCAGATAAAATGATTCCCAAACAAGAACCCTGGCTGGCATGAGGGGCCCTTTGGCACAGAGCATGGGACCATTTATTATCCATGTGAAACTACCAACAACACCGTTATGACAAAGCACTACCATGTCGAACGCCAGGCCTGTCCAGCCTCATTACTGGAGATCTCAGGCTGAATATATGGGAGAGAGATAAAAGAATAGTTCAGCCAAAAAACTGCATTTATTAGAGAAGCAACAATGTATCACAAAATAGTGATTTGTTCATAAAAAGGACTGATCCAGAACTTGATTCAGTGAAGTGATTTTAATGATCAGTTGTGCGTTTCCCAAAAGCAACTATGGTCGCAAGTTCCGTCGTTACCAATAGAGTTCAATGGAACGAACCACCATAGTTAGCTAACGATGCTTTTGGGAAACGCACCCCAGGTTAATTATCACAGAATAAATATTTAAATTTCAGCTTGTTTCTCACACAATGAAATTGTATTAATTCAGGTGGC